GAAGACCCCAGTTCTTCACCTCTTGTGGCATGACTAGCAATGAAGTTATTTGTCCAAACAGGAATTCTAGAGTCCATCTGGGGTACAGTTGAGGAAGGAGATACACACTCCACGCAGACATGGATGTGGAGAAAGAGTCACTTAAGGCCAGAAACAACTTCAAGGAACAGGACTCTGGTAGCAACAAAAACAATGCAAGTTTGTCACCTATTCTCAAATCGGTATGCTTTAGAACTTAGATGAGAGCAATGTGATTGAATTTGATGCATTTTAAAAAATCTTAGTTTAACATTTTGTAGCACTTCAAAGGTATGGTTCTAAATTCAATTTATTCTGATGATTGGTTTTAATGACTGTTACAGCTTTTAAAATGTATCTACAAAGATCCATAGATACAAATGGAGGAAGTGTGCCATTGGCTGCACTTATTAAATCTCATCTTTTGATCTTATCCACTGCTTATGCAAAGCTTTTTGTTAAAATCTGGCTAATAAATTTCCATCTTCCCCAATGTCAATCAATGCTTCTAGCAAGGTAATCAGAAGGACTACATTTTTATATTTTGAACAAAATTTTCTCACACTCACTGAAACTCTTCATTTGGAAGCTTTTTAAACAGGCTAGAAAATTCTGTTTCCAAGGTTTTAAAGTGTGCAGATTCAAGATGTGACACATTTGCATTGTTTTTGGCAACCAAAGCCTAATTTTTAAATGTCTTTGTAATTGTGATGGCTTCATACTATTTAAATATTTCAAGGCACAATCTACACTGAGTGAAACGTGATGTTAGTGCTGGTAGATAGAAAGCCGTATTTCAAATAATTTTGATGATTTCTCCTTTTTTTGGCTGACCTCGTCGGATCTGATTAGATTATCATTTTTTATTTTGCAATATGGCTGAAGAAGACCTGATATTCTGCCATTTTATTGACACTTTCTTATACTCACATTATTTATAGTATCTTCAATTTGAGATTTCTTTGCAGGAATCTTTTTAAGTCCATTTTGTGAGGGTTAACTTAGTTAAAGCTAGATAACTTAATTAGTAAATCTACTCAGTGGGCACACATAAGTTGCAGTTCAATGCAATGTACTGAAAGCCAAGCAATGAGTGATAGCTCCACAATCATCAATCCCTCCACTTTGTAGAACTCCCACTCTTCTTTCATGCTACTTCCTGTACTGTACAAGATGCACAAAGGACATATGGAACAAGTAAAGATGTCAGTGTTAAACATTAGTAAATATTAAATATTAGTAAAGCTTACTTTCTTTCCTTTTTTAGATAAAAAAAAATAGTGGTAGATGTTCAAATAGTTTCTTCCTGCACCCTGATGAATCATGTCATGCATCCTCTTGGGTATGCACGCCATCTTGGAGACCTGCTTCAGAGTATTCCATCCACCTTGGAGTATTAACGTTCAGAATGAGCCAGGGCTTGGAAAGGGAATCTGGAGACAAAAAGTTTTTAAGCTGTATTAAGGGAAAGAGGAGGATCAGAGAAGGACAGACCCCTGACTAAATGAATAAAAGCACTCATTAACCATTTACAGAATGCAAAACACTGTGCCAGGAGCTGGAGACAAAAGCAGAAAAGTAAGCCCTTTGCTTTCAAGGAGCTCACTTTCTAATACAGAGATAATACATATTAGAGATTTCTGCTGCAAGTGAGATAGAAAGATTCCATAGCTCTTGGGTGCAGCAGCAAAACAGGTGGGAATGTATCTTCTTTGAACGCCATTTCTACTGATAGAATCATATCAGTTTCTGATACTGAACCAACTGACACCAACTGGAAGCACTGCTATTCCAAAGGCTCTTGAGTTCAGGGTCTTAAGCTATCTCCATCAGAGTCTGAGGGGAGATGGTGGTCAGGGTGTTAGTGGTTTGACATGCTTGACACATGCTGTTTCCTGTCTTTCCCTTCTCCTCTCCCACACCTCCCACCCTGCACCCTAAGGCTGCATTGCTGCTTCAGCTAGGCTTGTATGGAGGAAATGGATATAATCTGTGGGCAATGAGTTTGAGGAAAAACATTTCCTCAGAAAAAGTGCCCTTGGAGGTCAAAGAAACACAGCTCAAGTTGTATAATTGAGATTGACCCATAGTCTGTATTTTATTCAACAATGGGATAAGCCCAGTGATTCTCCCTAGAAAGAGGCCTCCACTATCTTGGAGACCCCCAGACTCACCCAGATATTCTTGATGAGATTAGGGCAGAAAACATCCCCATAGGAACAAGCCTGATTTTTGTGGCTCCAAATCCTCTGATGTCTAGTCCCTGTTAGTCACCTGGCTGGGCAGCCTCACATGGTAGGTTCCTTTGTTCTGGAAGTCCATTACCAGCTGGCTGGCATCAGCTAATGCTAATTACACTTTTTAATCTTCTGACCTGATTTATTGACCTCCTGTCAAACACACCAAGATAAGAAGAATTACTGTCTTGGAGGATCTTATGACTCCTGGGTTGAGGAATTCCCCAATACTGGCTTGCCTGGCCTGTACATAGAAGGTGATTAGCAATTGGTGGAGATGTCTGTCCCCTCCTTAAAGACTAGACTGCTGCATAGGTGAATGGAACAATGATAATGGGCAGTGGAGTAAAGACTTTTGCTTCCATTTTTCTTTGCCAAGGAAAATTACTTTTGGACTAATAGGACAGAACAAAAATGGCTAATCTTCATACTCAAGATAATCTAAATAATGAGTTCAAGTCCCCAGGCCCAGGTGAACTATTTAGCCTTGGGTACTGAAAGAAATGTGATTGATCTTTGAAAGATTGAGAAGAATGGGAGAGGTGCCACATAACTGGAGAAGGGCAAAAATTCCTAGGTTCAAAAAAAGAGGAAGAGAATGCAGGTTACCACAGCATCAGTGATGAAGGCATGGAAAGAAAACATGCATTACCAAGTAATAAGCACATACATTGGAAATCTGTATGACCATAGCATGTGCAATGGACATACAATGTAGGAGACACAACACTTATGGCCAGGGCAACTCACTTTTACAAGAGGGGTAATATCATCATACTGCTTTTTGTGTATTTCTTGTGTTGGGTGTCATGTTGTTTCTACTGGGGTCTTTGGTCACCAAGCTGCTCTTTTCAAGCCTTTATCAGGGTTCAGCTCTTCAGGGCCATCCATTGGCTCTCTGCTCCCAATTCACTAGGTAGTAGTGGCTAAAAAGTCTCTTGTCAGGCACAGGCTAAGATCTTTTAAACCATAGCTTCTGGGACTATTAACCAATTTTAGCCTAGTAGCCAACAAAAGCTAGCCAGCATACCCCAAGCTAAAATATACTGGAGTGAAGAACCCTACTTCGTTTCCCAAATCGTTTTTTTATTGGCATTAAATGAAATTGATTTAAAGAAAAAATGTTAAGTGAAGAAGGCACCCTCCTAACCCACAATTCTGTCTGTCTGTATATATATGTAGGTGTATATATATATATATATATATATATATATATATATATATATATACACATACACATACACATGTATATACATATACATGCGTATATATGGGTTAGGAGAAATGTGGACATGTGCCTACAACAAAAAGCTTGACTTTTTGGCCTCTAAAAAACCTTGATAACTCCTTACACTAAGGAGGGATATAGCTAACCAACTGAAGGTCATACATGTTAGTTCCTTGAGGTCAATGACTGTTTCCTATTTCATCCCCAGTGCCTTGCACATAGTAAGTGCTTAATAAATGTGGGTATAATTGTCTTTTTTTAAAAAAAATCACTCTTCTCTGACTCTTCCCTTTGGGACCAGAAGTATGAAGTGATCAAATGACTGTTGGTTGACTATGGAGTTTAGCTTTCTCTCTATGTGAGTCCAGCAGAATCTCATCAGGTAGATATTTAGTTCAATTCAGTAAGCATTTATTAAGCACCTACTATGTGCCTGGCATTATAATAGGGATACAAAGACAAAAGGGAAATATTTCCTGATCTTGAGGAACTTACATTCTACTGGGTAAAAACTATTTCTATATAGATAAGTAAATAAAAAAATACATTTAAAATAATTTTGAGATGGGAGAGTACTAACAGTTGCTAAGATTAGAAATTGGTATTGGGCTGAACCCTGAAAGGAGCTACGGATTCCAAGAGGTTGAAGTGAGGAGGGAGAGCCCTCCCTATGTGAGAGATAGCCTGTGCATAGACAGAGAGGCAAAAGGAGGAATGTTGTATATGAGGAACAGCAAGGGACTTTGGTTGCAACATAGACATAGGGGAGCGATGTGAAATCAGTGGAAAGATAGATTTGCCAAATACAGGGGTTTGTATTTTATCCTAGATAGACTAAAGAGCCACTAAAGTTCCTTAAGCAGTTAGAATGTGGTCTGTCTTCTAAGAATAGAGAGGCTTAGGAGCCCCACTTGACAATGACACTAGGGTTACATACCCATACATACATATATATACCATGGCCAGATCTTAGAGTGAAAGTCCAGGGAAGGAATTCAAGTATGCTGTAGTTGTTATTGCTTACAAGATGTCCCCATGGAAACTTGCTTATTGGCAGCTTCTTGACTATAGCATCAATAATGGGAAAACAATCAGATAGACTGGTGCAAAATCCAGCCCCTCCATATTAGGGCCCCCTATTACTTGCTAGTTGAACGGGTGCCTTTATGGTTAGGCTATTCTAAGCTGTCCTAGTGTGTGGGCAGTCTTAGAACGTGTGTAGTGTCAGCCCACTACCCTAATTTTGTAGATGTAACCTTTGATTCAACACAACCTCCCCTACAGAGGCTACAGAATCTGTTACTGTCTCTTTAAGATTTTGGATAGAAATAGAAAATTGAGGGGGGAAAATACTAATTTGTGTAGGTAGTGTTAAAAAGTGACAGTGGAGAAAATGCCTCGATATGAAATACTTCTCCCTATGGACTCAAGGAAAAAGTATGTGCTTTATGATCGATAAGAACCTATGAAAGTCAGTTGAGAAAATGATTTAATGTCAAATTCTTCTCTCTTTGGAGTTAGGGAGAAGGTGTGTGTTGTATCTGTCATCCATGAAGATCTATGAGGATCTACTTGATAAACTGGAGTGAGAGCTTGAGAAAAGCTGAAGCGATCGTTTCCTGTTGTGATTGGAAAGCTACTGTCATCGAGATAAAAGAGATGGAGAAATCTTTTTTTCTGAAAAAAGCTGTTTTCACCTTTATCTTTTGAAGAGAATTTTGAGAAGAAATTTTATTTGAGAAGTATGGAAAAAACTAAATAGCAGAAGACTGAGTTTTCATAAGTAAAGAGAATTCTACGGGCTGAGTTAAGGTGATTCTATGACATTCATTGCTAAAATATTGTAAATAATTATATGTGTATTTATGTTTATGTATCATGGATGAGGCAGGGGTGTGGCATCCATTCCCACCGTTTTTTCTGGGCTGGCTCACTCCCCTCAATTTGCATACATGGGGGCAAGTTTTGGGGATTTTTTTTTTAATGGGAGAGTTCCACAAGAGGAAGGTTGCCCCACAGATACGACGTACTCTTAAGAGTCTTAGGGGTAAACCCGGTGTAGAAGAATACACTTCTACTGCTTGATCCAGAGCTCCCACCATCCATTTGCATAAATCAGTCACCAGGACATCATTAATACATGAAACTTTACTAACCAAGAAGGCAAAAAGAAGGAATAAAAAGGAGAGATAATCAAAACATAATTTTACTCCATAAATTTGTGTCACTCTCTTGTCAATAAACACCACGTCATTGAGGGAAGGGTATACACGAACATACAGAAACTGATTGGTGAGGCAGATGAGTAGGGATATTTATGCGCCCAGAACAGCTCATGGCTCTGACTGCCGCTCGTCCTTGATGATTTAGGGGAATGATTTGCAACAACATCACCTGCTGGGCTCTTCCTCTGGGCCTCTCCACCCCTCCTGCTGGACAAAGCTGCTTCTCTGCAGCTCCTCTCAGACAAAAGAAACTGTTTCAGTAAGATAGCATTATGCTCCTTCAGTGGCAAGCGTTTCCTCCAACAAATCAGCTCCAGAGCAACGGTCTTCAGCCGTCTTTTAATTGCCCTCCATAGATGGAAATGAAGAGCAAAGCAGACATGTCTGGCCTTATTTTTACTCATAGTTGAAGATTCTGCTTTTCTCCAACCAGTTCCCAACTTCAGAGATTTTCTTCAGTTAGTTCCAAACAGCAAAGCCTGGCTTTCCCTGCTGCAAGTACTTTCTTTGGCTTTCAGTTCAGCTTTTCTTTTCTTTCTGTCTCAATTTCTGCTCCATTTATTCTGGTTTCTGTGCTTCTTTCCTATGTCTGCAGCTTTCCTTGTCATCTCTTCTCAGTTGACTTCTGCTTATAAGTCCTGTTCAGTGGATCTCCTCCTTCAAAGCATGATTCATCTCTACCTTAATTTTTAAAAATTTTTTATTAATTTATTTTGATTTATCAACAATCACTTCCATAAGCTTTTGAGTTTCAAATTTTTCTCCCTCAACCCTTCCCTCCTCAAGATGGCATGCAATCTGATGTAGGCTCTACATATGCATTCCTATTAAACATATTTTCACATTAGTCATGTTGTAAGGAAGAATTAGAACCAATAGGAGGAACCACAAGAAAGAGGAAACAAAACGGAAGAAAAAAAATAGCAAATAGCGTGCTTCAATTTACGTTCAAACTCCCTAGTTCTTTCTTTGGATGTGGATAGCATTTTCCATCATGAGACTTTTGAGATGTCTTAGATCCTTGCATTGCTGAGAGGGTTAAGTCTAGCAAAGTTAGACTTATTTTTTATGCCATTTTTGAAACCTGAAATTTGCCACTAATAAAAAAGAGAAGCATTGAGAATTCTGAGAAGTCCAGTAGAGTGAGCCAAAGGAAGCTGGGAGTCAGAATCTAGGCCAGGTTTTGCAGCCAGCACAGCATTGGTGCCATAGGAGCAAGGAGTAACCCTTCAGCATGACTTATAGGACCTAGTCTTGGAAGTGGTTAAGATAAAAATCCATTCCAAAGTGATACTTCATCTTCATATGAATTTGGTGGGACCATTGCCAATTAGGAACTGAGCTAAGTTGTGAACCTATTCTCCCAGAGACCAGCATTTGTAGGGGGAAATATGTTCCATGATGTATCAGGGGAAACTATTTGTTCATGTTTTGAAAGTAAATATCCTTTCGTAAAAGCTAAGTGGTGTTAAGTTGTTAAATAGAACTGAGATGCTGTTTACTAGCCTCCTGACACTGGGAGAGGCACAGCTTTTTGAGGGTTGATCTGATGGCATTAGAGAAGAACGTCCTTTTGGGGTATTCTAGCACCTTAAGGAGAAGATGTAGCCAGTTTCACTCTGAGAGAGGCTCGGAGCATACTTGTTACATTAGATTTCTTTTCTATTTTTGTATTTCCAAGTTACTTTTAAGATCTGGTCTTTTCATCAGAAATACTTGCAAACCTCCCATTTCATTAAATATCCATTTTTCCCTTGTAGGATTATACTCAGATTTTCAGGGTAAATTATTCTATGTATCTTTTGGTTTTTGGAATATTATCTTCCAAGATCTTCTCTGGCTTTTAGTAGAAGTTGCTAGGTCATGTGTGATTCTGATTGTAGATCCTTGGTACTTAGACCATTTCTTCCTGAATACTTGTTGGGTTTTTTACCTTTGATGTATGAGTTCTTGATTTTGGCTACATCATTCCTGGCACTTTTCCTTTTGGGGTTGTTTTCAGAAGCTTATTGGTGGATTCTTTCTACATTTACTTTGCTCTCCAGTTCTGATAGATATGGATAGTTTTCATTTATGATTTCTTGGGAAAAAAATAGTATCCAGGCTTTATCAAAAAATTATGGGTTTTCAGGAAGCACAATTTTATTTTTTTCCTCTTTGACATGCTTTCTAAGTCAGTTGTTTTAGATTGCCACATCTTATGTTTTCTTCTACTTAAAAAAATCTTTTGATTTTATTTTAATATTTAATTCTATCTTTCATAGTCATTTATTTCTATTGCTTTTATCTTAGTTTTCAGGCATTTCTTTTTTTGATTAGTGTTTACCACTCTTCTATTTATTGTCTTTCCAGTTGTTTTATCCAGAGCTTTTATTTTATTTTTTTACTTCTTGCTTAATTTCTTCTAAATGTTCATACAGTCCTTTTAAAAATCTATTTTTCCTTTGAATCTCTACTTATTATTTTTATGGAATTAGATTTGCAATAATTTTTTATTGCTACTTTCTTTGCTTTATTGATTTTTTCCAACTTTAGCTCCTCAGTTGGGGTTTTGTGCAAGCACCAGTATCCATCCCCTTGATGTACTTTGAGGCTTTTGGGTAGAGTAGTTAGCCCCAGGTGCCTTGCATTCTTACACTCACCTCCTCTTTCCAGAGTTATGGATCCTTCTGGTTTTTTGAGATTCAGAGTCTTGGATCTTCAAGTCCCTCTCTGTCATCTCTGGACAGAGTATTAGGGACCTCAGGGCTCTTGAGTCTTGGCTGTCCTTATGTGAATGCGTCAGCACCATACTGGTCTGCCCTATGCCCGGCTTCCAAGGTCCTCAGCCAGGTGTGGGTTTTTTTTTTTAACCACCCTGAGGCTTTCTCAGGGGAACCCTCTGTTCTTTCAGCCTCCAGGCAAAGAGCTGTGTAGACTACATGTCCCCTATCTCTGGCCACACTGGCACTGCCTTTTCTCTTATCAGTGGACTTCCGGCTGATATATAGTTTTGAAGGAGAAGATATCACTGAAGTTTCACTTTGGATTGTCTGACCATTATTTAACCTGGTACGAACTTCAGGGTTTGGCTAGAGTAGGTATTATGGAACCTAGTTTGCCTCCTATTCCAGTATGTATCTTGGCAAGAAATCCTTTACCTCTATCATATGATGAGAAGCCCCAAACCTGCATTTCTATCAGGCATAATGCAAATAATTGTTATACAACATTACCATAGGGAAAAGGAATGGAAGGGAATAAACATTTATATAGCCTTCTATGTGCCTGGCACTGTGCTAAGTACTTTTTATAATTATTATCTCATTTTTCCTCACAACAACCCTGCGAGATGGGTGCAATTATTATCTCTATTTTATAATTGAGGAAATTGAGGCAGGAAGAAGTTAAGTGACTTGTTCAGGTTCACACAGCTGGTAAGCATCTTGGGCTCAGGGAGGCCTAGCACCTCTGCCAAGCCCTTTGCAGGGCTGTTCACCCATCTCTGGTGTCCACCTTCACCCAACTTTCATGCACAGCAGCACACCCCAGTAAAACCTTCTAGGCAGATACCTAAACCAGGCTGAGGGTAACCTCCAAGCTCAAACTCAATGGTGAGTTAGAGAAATGTCTACCTCAAACTTGTGAAGACTTCCCCCAAGGGAATGGGCAGATGAGAACAATTTGTTCCAACAGCCAAGAAGGTGGCTGAAGCAGGCACTGTGAAGCACTTAGAGCTTGGTCAGACATTGAAGATGCCAAGGTCATCCACCGCATCCTGGGCCATCTCCAGTTTTCCTGACTTTTGTCTTGCCAGTGGATTTTGATGATGCTGAAAGAGAGAGTGAGGCTGAGGACTTTGTGCAGCTCTGCCTCACTTAAATCCAATTCACCCATGAGTCGAGACATCACCTATGACATCATTGGTCCTCTTTAAAATGAAGGACTAACAACATCACAGCAACAAATTAAAAAATCCTGAGGTCATGCTCAAATTAGCTGCTGGGAAATAACGTACTGTAACAATCATTACCATCAATCAGTGCTTTTTAATCTGACCTTCTTTCAAATAGATTTTCTCAGTATGTTTATCCAAAGGACTTTTTTTCCTCTGTTTTTCAGAATCGTCTCAAGTTGCTTTTCTCATGCAAATGTCCTTTTTATTTCACCCCTTTCACCAAATAAAATGTCCACACAGGCAGACAGCACTTTACATTTATTGTAGACTCATTTATTAATAAATTACATATACATATCCAGTAATTTTAATATTTGTTCAATTATAGATAAATTAGAGTAATTACTTTTTGGAAAGGTTTCTCTAGTTCATTAAATAGTTAATATTTAATGAACTAGATGGGAACTCAAGCTAATTTATTAATGAAAGAGTGGCTGCACATTTATTAATGAAAAATAAATTATCCAAGCATACCCCTAGGTCACTACAGAGCTTGGGAGGATAAAATTAAATATATATCAGTGAGTCAAACGACAAATTGAGACTGGGTTACTGATGAATTTGTTTGACCAGATCCCAGGCCCTATAATCTTACTACATATGAGGCTCATCTTTCCCATTCTCTACCAACCTGTTACATGTGAGGGGCTTGTCCTTCTTTTGCAGCTTGCTACACAGGCCACAGTTGTCATTCTGCCATGGCAGAGGGAGTAAGACCACATCCTTCTTTCTCCCACACCAAGTGGAGGTTAGCAGAAAGTTGTACGTGAGTGAACCAAGGCTAAGGAGAAGCCTCTTTTCCTGAGCATCAGTGGACTCCCTTATGACTAGAAACTATCTCAATAGCATTCATTGTTTTTACTTGTAATGGGGAAATAATAAAATATTAAATTTAATTTTAAAAAAGAATGTGTTTTTCTTGACTGAAGGGACTGCATTTTTTTCCCCTTTCTTTGTATCCTCAGTGCCTAGTTCAGTGTCTAGTGTATATTCAGTCATTGTTCACTCACATCCGACTCTTTGTGACCCCATTTGGGCTTTTCTTAGCAAAGATACTGGAGCGGTTTGCCATTTTCCTCTCCAGCCCATTTTATAGATGAGGAACTGAGGCAAACAGGGTTAAGTGATTTGCCCAAGGTCACAGAGCTAGTAAGTGTCTGAGTCCAGATCACACTCTTCGGTTTCTCTCTTCCTCAATCCATCTCCTTACCTCTCTCTCTTTATAGGTCTTTTCCCACCTGCACTCCTTCTCTCTTTTTTGTCCTATTGACCTACTTCACCAAGGGAAATACAAAATAAGGATGTTGAGATAGACCTTTTTTATGGTCTCTTGCATGACAAGGACTCATTGCCCTGTGAGAAACAAAGGGAGTGAA